GGATGAATTGGAGAATGTAATGTCTCCTTAAAAGACTCAATAAAAGCGTGGAGCACGTTCCCTTTTTTGGGTATATACCCAAAGAAAAGACTGAACACGACTTTTTCCTCTTCTTTTTAAAGCTGGACTGTGTGTGTGTGTGTGCGTGTGTGTGTGTGTGTGTGTGTGTGTATGTGTGTGTGTACGTGCGCGTGTGTGTGTGTGAGGGGATCAGACAAATGGCTAATAAACCTCATAAACCTGAGGGAGAAAACAGAGGTCCCATCGTGGGAAAGTGGCCCACGAGGCTGGATCCTGGCTTTTATTACCTGTTAAACCCGGTACTTCATTAAAAAAGCCCCCCCCCCCCCCCCCGAGGGGTGACGGTCACGTTCCCCCGCGCAGGATAAGAAATTATTGTTCATTTGATGGAACTCGAATCGCCCAAAAAAACAAAAAAAAAAACTCCTTTAAAGTCGCAAAAAATAAATATTTTATAGCAGATTTTTTGAAGGTTCGATGATTAAGTCGTAGTTCGATGCAAAAAAACAAATCCCCCCTTTAAAAAAAACTCCCCAGGAGACGTAACTCAGGTTTAACTTTATTATTGGAATAAATAGGTGATGACGCGGACAGTTCAGGTCACGTGACCGTCCAGCTGCTTTACGCACGAGCTACGAGTTTCTGATTAATTTAAAATGTGAATAAAACAAAGTTTGAGAGGCCATGTTTTTAAAAAAGGACATTTTTGAATCGGTTTAGATTTAAACCCGGAAGTAAATAAGGACAAAACAGCTTTTACGCGTCTGTTTAAGAAACAAAACGTGTGTCCCCTTTGTACATAAGCATTTTTTCTGTGTGAATTTATTTTATTTTGTGAATATGAGTATGTTTCCACTTTTAATATATATTTCATATCTTTGTGTATTTTCGATTAATATGTACATACTTTGGGAAAATATTGTAATAATGTCATATGGAGACGTCACCGATTGGGTCATCACTCGATCACGTGATGCCTTTGATAGGAAGTTCTGAGTTTGTTTATAATTAGTCTGCGTGTTCAAGAGAAAAGGCAAAGGACTAAAAAAATGGAATAAATGGACTTTTAGCAACTCCTAACCTTCTGATTGGAGGGGCATACGGTATGGACAATTTAGAGAATTTATATTTTTCTTGAATAAGTTTCATTTGATAATTCATGTACATGACGGTTCAATTGATGAATATTGATGAATATGTTCTATATTTTGCAGTGTTCACGGTGGTTTTGGGCGTTTGTATGACGGAAAATCCTGTAATAAAACGTTTGGAACCATCAGTTGGATATCTGCACTTTCTTAAACCAGTTAGAAAAAGTTGGGAGCAGCTATACCCTTCTAGTTTTTTACGGCTCGTTTGGTTTTTGGACAAAATATCAGAAATATCTGTTATTTAATGTAGAACTTATCAGCTCCTTAGTCCAAAATGTCCGTCTGAAGACATTTGAATGACTGTAGTCTCCATTACGAACCCCCCCCTCCCCCCCCCTTTCCGGGTGGAGGCGCGTGCCCGCGGACACGCGGGGGGTCGCACGGAGGCGTCAAAAGTCGCGTGCGCACGTCTGCGCTTCACACCTGTCCGGCGGATGTCTGTCACGTGCAAATGAGCCTCGCGCGAGCTGGCGACACCTTCCAGAGGTCGCGTGCTCCTCACGGC